GCCTGTTTCGAACAGGCACCATGTGTATAATGCGGGCCACTGTTATTATTGCCGTTTTGAACTACGGTCGGGACGGACCTGCGGACGACTGTTTTTTTTGCCCATTCAAAACGTGGGTTGTGACCCACTAGCCGTTGCCCCTTTTTTTTTTTTTGTGTGTGTGAGTGAATTTTGTTTGTGTCCGTTTGGTTTGCATGGTTTGTCCGTGGTCCGTTTGTGGTGTGACACGGCAGGCACCAGAGGGACTGTAGGAAAGTCCGTTGAGGCGGACAACTTTACGTACCTCACGACCACCCGCCCAACGAAACGCGCCACAACACATGTCAAACCTCCACCGATTGCGTTTCTGTGGGGTCCCTGTTTTCTTTTACGGGCCTCCCGGAGCGGGCCCAGCTTTTTCGTTACTTTTACGGATTCTTGTTCCGTAAGTAGAGTGGGATCAGACCCTAAGAGAACCTAGAAGAAACCGAAAAGTCGGGCCCTCTCCTATCTGACCGTGAAAGGAAAATCGCATCCCACAACTCCGAAAAGAATGGCCCTTTTACAGGCATTGCGGCGCAATAATGTGGGTGGGTGGCAGATCAACGCAATAATGTGGGAGGGTGGCGGATCGACGGAGGAAAGGAGGGAGAGACGGAAAAAAACAAACAAAAAAAGAGACGGAAAAAAAAACAAAAAGACAATAACAAAAAGCTTCTCCAGCTTTCTAGGGGCAGGGTAGGTGTTGGCTTCTCTTGGAAAACGGGACAGATTCTTGCGCCGGCAATCGCTCCCGAGCTGCCACGATAGAAACTGTTTCCACACCCTCCCACCAGCTGCGCCCCTACCTGCTCATACGGAAAGAAGTGGGATCCCCCGAAACTCATATTTTTACTTACCCTAAGGGGCTCGCCACACTACCTGTGGAAAGTGCAATTTTCGACAGTCCGAGTCGCCACACCACCTGTCGAACAAAAAAATGTCGACACATCTTCGACGCCTGTCAGAAGTGGGCGTTCGACGGCTCCTTTTGAATTCAAGGTCTCGCCCGCCTGCAACATAGGCATTTTTGACAGTCCACCGCCGACCTATCGAGTTCTCCTCGAAGATTGTCGAGCGGGACTGTGGTCGGGCTGGAGAAACGCTTGTCCTATACTCATGCTGGTTTGTCTCTTCTGCACTTGAATTCGCGAGCCCTTCACTTCGACAGTGCTGTGTGGCCGAGGGGGGGGTTTCTGTCGAAACACTTCCTTCCGAGTTTTCGACGACAACTTTCGAAAAAATGCACTTTCGACAGCTGGTGTGGAGAGCCCCTAAGTACTGTCGGATCAGTAGCTTGCTATCGACTGTCCCATTTTTTGCGGTCAAGATCAAACCCCCCGTAACTGTTTTGTTTTTCTTTTGGAGTCTGGGACGAGTCAAAACCCGTGAAAAGAATTCTTCCGAAAAAAAAAACACAGAAGAAAAAGGAATTCTTGCACGCTTATACCTAACACGCCTGCTAGTGGAACCGTGGCCCTTACCGGCCTGCTAGTGGAACCGTGACCCGGGCGAGTCAAGGTCAGTGGTGGCTCCCCGCTACCTCTCAGTTCCTGGCCGAAAATGAAAGCCCTCTGGTGAGTGGGACTGGATCTCACGCTCGGACATCTGAGCCTGTGGGACTGCGCTGCCACGGAGTGAATTCCAAGCTTGCAGTAGTCGTGTGAGGAGTCCCTTACTTACCACGGTCGTCGGAGGTCGGAGACAGTAGAGCTGGTTGAAGGCACACAGCTTTTCGCTGCATTGCACAGAGTGCGAAAAACATATGGACAGCACCGTTGTCCAGATACGTTTGAGAATTTTGATCCGTTCGAGTGTATATGGTTAAGGACGAAGTCCACATACATATAGGAGGTTCAGGAGTGGAGTGAGGAGTGGAGTGACACCCACACCTCGTATTGAACGCTGCGTGAGAGTGTATAAAAGTGAACAACCCCCTCTCTACTAGGCATCGATTGAGCTGCGCCTCGTCATTGATTGCGCACTGATATCCCTGCGGAAGTAACTTGACGGGCAACCTAGGAGAGGAGTCGAGAGGGAAGGCCTTCAGCAACCCGTCTAGCGCGCAGGAGGGCGTCCAAGCCCAGGTCCGGAGCGATGGCACGATTGACGTTTCCGATGGCGGCGCTGGCTGCTCTGCTTCTGATCGCTGCTGCATCCTCCGCCAGCGCGCTTTGCCCGCCCAAGGTGACCATAGACTACGTCACTTACGCCGGCACCGGCTGCAGCTGGGACAACACGAACTACGTGCTTTCGCCGGACTACTCCACCGTCACGTTCATCTTCGGCGGCATGGTTGCCACAACCGACGGAGGGCTTGCCAACACGAGGAAGTTCTGCCAGCTCTCCTTCGCGCTGAAGTATCCTAAGGGCTGGATTTTCACGCTGGGGAAGGCGACCGGCCGCGGGTTCGCAGACATCGGCGCAAACTCGCTGGGCGTCTACGAGTCGAGCTACTACTTCTCCGGACAAACGGGCACGCCCACCATCAGCCGCACATTCTACGGCCCGCAAACCAAGAGCTTCGAGGCCACGGACAAATTCCTGACGATGGTGTGGAGCGAGTGCAACAATGTTCCCAACCTGAACATCAAGACGGTGGTGAGGGTGCAAGGCCAGAAGGCCGCAATGTTCCTTGACTCTCACGACACCAAGTTCCATCTGGCCTTCGCCCTCTTCTGGAAGCCTTGCTAAGCAGCGAACCACATCATCTGTCAGGGTGACGACGTCGTGCAGCAGGGCGAGAGCCAAGGACATTCGTCCTCATAGCATCGTCTGCTGCGGAGGAACGATTTGATATGGCGGACGGCAGGTTGTACCAGCTTGCGGGGAAGGCGATCTCTGCAGTAGCGAGTGCCAAAGAACTGTCAACGGATGTTACGCAGAACCTTCCGCCCTTTTAGTAGTTGTGGATGGAGCACTCAAGGGGTCGATGGTTTTAAGTATAGCCCAAGCAGGGCTCTCCGCCATCTCAGTAGCTCAGGTTATTGGATTATATGCAGTTCGTCACTCTTCGCTGTCGTACGCTTGGTGTAGCTGCTTAATATATTTGCGGACTCATAGAGCAATTCAATTGTCGGGTCTGTGCCCTCTCTCTCTCTCTCTCTCTCTCTCTCTCTCTCTCTCTCTCTCTCTCTCTCTCTCTCTCTCTCTCTCTCTCTGTGTGTGTGTGTGTCTCTCTCTCTGTCTCTCTGTCTCTCTGTCTCTCGCGTGCGCGCGACAAACACACACGCACACGCACACACACACACACTCACGCACACAAACAGACACAGACCCGCACACACACACACACACACACACACACACACACACACACACACACACACACAGAGTGGTGAAGAATCTCTCTCAAGGATGCCC